CTGACCGCAGGTCGGTTTGAACGACAAGGTTGGTGATTCAAACACACCAGCAGCTCCTTGGAAACCCTACACAGGGTCACTACGAATAGGAAGTCACTCAACAACAACTTTTCAAAAAGCAAATCACCAGGCTTTTCTTTCCTGGCACCTCTGGATGGGTTAAAACAGGCAAGCTTTTAGTTTCTAGTCAGCCACTCTAGCACCACCCAAGGACTCCTAGATTCTAGGATGGTGGTGATGTTAAGTGCCGTTGAATCGGTTCTGACCCACAACGACCCTGCATAGTGTTTCCGAGGAGCGACTGGTTAGCTTGAACCCCCAACCTTGCAGTTCAAACCAACATTGCAGTCCAGCGCATTAGTCTACAGCGCCACACCAGAACTCCTGGATTCTCGGGTACACTGTCTGATTCCAAAATCATCCTAGGTTCTTACCCAGACAACTATTCTTTGTGATTCACCATTTTCCTCAACCCATTTTGGTCCTTATCTGCAATTGTCTTCGATCTGATGGCTTCAGACTTTCTATAAAAAAAAGTTTCCTTTTCGTTACTTTTTTTTGTTTTTCTGGTTATTTTCCCCAACATCTGGCTCTACCACTCAATTCACAATTCCTCACATTTCCGGTTAATAGACGCTGGGGCATGCAAGACGGGGCGAGTCTGCGCAGAAGCGGTTTCAGCTTCGCCTTTCTGACTCTGGACCACTTTTGTCCTCTCCGACTTGCCGTCTTCACAACTATGGCGGCGGCCAGAGTTCCAGGGTGGCTGGTTCTGCGGCCGGGGTCCAGAACCCTGCGTTCCTTGTGTACTGCTGTTTCTCCAGCTACTCCAATGCGGAGATCAAGCCCACGTAAGTGTCTCTTCATCACGTCCGGGCCTTGGAGTAGGTTGAGAGGACGTATTACTGGACACATGATGGCCGCCGCCGTGGCAAAGTTCGCGTCTTCCACGGGTGGCCCGTAGGTCTTTTGTTCCTCTGTTCCCTGTCGGCTTGCGTGTGGAAGCTGCCAGTTTGGGTTTCTAGCTGGCAATTTCTCTTTTGGGTTTTGTGCTGAGGCTACTAGCTTCTTCCCTAGCCCGTGGCCTGCGCTTTCTGTGCTCCCTTCCATCGCCATTTACACAGAGTCTCTCTCTAGTTACTGGTCATGTTTTGTTTTTTTTGGGGGTGGTGGTATTGAACCGCCGATTTCCCCCAACATTATCAGGAAGATCTAGATAACCTAGAACGAACTGTAGATCTGAATTCCAGGCCTAGTTATGCCCAAATATGATGACATTCATTCACTAGGCATTACCGAGATGACCTTCATTCAACGGATGATGCTTGTAGATGAAGATGCTTGGAGGAATCTAGTGGCAAAGACATTTTTATAATCAGTGAAATAGGTATAGGTACTGTGAGAAGTGTTGTAACACAAGAGTGAATACAGTGATAGAGGGGCATTAAGAAATCGAGAAGAGTCCAGACAGGCTCAGCCTAGGGGCATGTCCAATGATTTGCCAAGTTTTATCTGTGTTACTTTCTTTAATGTCTTTAATCTACACTTCTTATACTACTAACATCCCCCTCAAGGCTACCATCTCTTGCTTCTACAATAGTATAGTTCCTGGTCCCTTTTCCATTCTGATACCCCTACATTATGATTCTCACAACAACCAGAGCTAAGCATTTTCAAAGCAAACCTTTTCCAGCTATTTCTTTGTTCAGATGTATAAAAGATTTCCCATTGCTTTAAGATAAATTATATAAACTCCTTAATGGGCCATACATGACTCTTGTAGTTTGATACTTATCTATTGCTTATTTATTGTATAAATGCTTATTGAATTTCTATGTACTAAGCAGTTCTACACACTAGGGGTACAACAAAGTCCTTGACATCCTGGAGTTTGCATTGTTTTAGAGAAATCCGATCATAAATGAGTAAGTGCCTAAGTAACATGTCAGAAGAACAGACAGGGTCTTGAGATCTATGGATTAGGAGACTAGCGGCTGTTTTGTCGAGTCAACT